TTCTTTTCATAATTTCCTTTTTCTTTGATTTTCAGCACAGTTTTCTTTATATTTATTCTTCTTGGGTTTTTGAGAACTTCTTGGAACCATGGCCTGATGGCTTTAGTTTATGATTTTTTCGGCTAAAATTTTTTCAAATATTCTTCTGCCCCATTCTCTTTCTTTTCTCCCTCTGGGTCTTCAATAGCATATGTGTAAAACCTGTATATTGTATTTTTATGATACTTAACCCTAAATTATTATTTCCATTTTAAAGTAAGATGAGGAAACTGGCCCCAGAAAAGTAACTTGTCCAAGAACACATGGTTAGTTATTCTGATAGCTGAGATTCACATCTGGGAAGTTTAACAAAGCCCATTTAAAAAATTCTGATTGACTCTTACTTCCCAATGTTATGCATTTTTTTAAATGTCTTCTATCCCAGTAATTCATCAGGAATATTGTTCCTCAACAATTCTGTGGAATGTATCATTATTATTATTATTATTTCTTGGTGAGAAAGATTGTCCCTGAGCTAACATCTGTGCCAATCTTCCTCTATTTTATACGTGGGATGCTGCCACAGCTTGATGAATGGTATGTGGGTCTGTGCTGGGATCCGAACCTGTGAACCCCAGGCCACTGAAGCAGAGCATGTGAACTCAACCACTATGCAACTGGAGCAGCCTCCATGTCATTATTATTTTTTTTTTTGAGATTGGCACCTGAGCCAACATCTGTTGCCAATGTTCTTTTTTTTCTTCTCCGCAAAGCCCCCCAGTACATAGTTGTATATTCTAGTTATAGGTCCTTCTGGTTGTGCTCTGTGGGATGCCACCTCAGCATGGCTTGATGAGTGGTGCCATGTCGGTGCCCAGGATCCGAACCAGTGAAACCCCAGGCCGCCAAAGTGGAGCACGCGAACCCAACACTTAGCCACGGGGCTGGTCGCTCCCCCCATGTCATTATTTTTGACGGCATAATATATCACCTTATTGGTGACCATAATTTATTTACTCTTTTATTAAGCATTAGGTTTCTAACTTTTGCTTATGATATATTATTCTTTTTACATCCTTATGTGTATACCATCATGTATTTATAGCTCTTTCCTAATGATAATCTCCTGGAAGTTCGATTTCTGAATAATTATCAGGCGTTTAGCAATTGCTCACAGTATGCCAGACTCTGTGCTACTGTATGAGAGATACTAGCATTAAAAATGTTGCTTGTTAGGGGCAGCCTGGTGGCATAGTGGTTAAGTTCATGCTCTCTGCTTCGGCAGCTCAAGGTTCACAGATTTGGATCCTGGGCACAGACCTACATATTGCTTATCAAGTCATGCTGCAGTGGTGTCCCACATATGAAAGCCAGAGGAAGACTGGCACAGATGTTAGCTCAGGGACCATCTTCCTCAAGCAAAAAGAGGAAGATGGGGAGCAGATGTTAGCTTAGGTCCAATTTTCCTCACCAAAAAAAGAAAGAAAGAAAATGGAAAAAAAAAATGTAGTTGCTATCCTTTGGAGTTTTATAATTGAGACAGAAAGATATAATCTTTACAGGGATAAATTTAAAGTAGGGTGTAATAAAGGCCTTTAGAAAAATTTAGATGATATACCCCTGAAGACACAGATGGAAGACATTTTGGCAAGCTGCAAATTATTTTAAACTCATGGGATCTCTGCAAGTGAAGGGATTCATTCTGTAAGCTACATGTCTTACACAAACCTAACCACTGTGCCACCTGGCTGGCCCCAATAAAGCTGTTTTTTAAAAAGGCATAAAACTTCTCCACTGAAAATTTAAAAGCATTGCTGAGAGAAATTAATTAAGACCTAAAGAAATGGAGAGATATACCATATTTGTGAACTGGAAGACAAGAATATCAATTCATCCTATATTTATAGAATCAAAGAAAATCCCGTTAAATCCCTCTAGATTTCTTTGTGTAAATCAGCCAGCTGGTTCTTGAAATATATATGGAATCACACAGGACCTAGAATAGCCAATACAATCAAAAACAATAAAGTTTAAAACTTATACTATGATATTTCAATACTTACTCTAAAGACAGTTTGGTATTAGTGCAAGAATAGCTAAATATACCAATGACCCAGAATAGAGTACAGAAGTAGACCCACACATATAAGATCACATGACTTATTACAAAGGCACCACTGCAATTCAATAAATAGTGCTGGATGGAGCAACTGGTTACCACATGGAAAAAATAAAGCTCTTGACCTTCACCTCAAAAGAAACAAACAAAAGAATTAATTTGAGGTGGATTCTAGCTCTAAATGTGGAGGATGAAGCAATAATGCCTCTAGAAGAAAAACAGAACATCTTCATGTCCTTATGGTAGGCAAAGCTTTTAAATATAATGACATCAACTATAAATAAAAGATTAATAAATTGGACTTCATTCAAATTAAGAGCATTTGTTCTTCAAAAGACTTCATTAGCAGATGAAAAGATAAACCATAGCCTGGGAAAGTTATCTACAATACATACATCCTACAAGGGCCTCATATCCCAGTATATACAAATATCTATAGATAAATAGAAAAAACCTGCAAACCGATTTCAATAAAATGGTCATGAGTTGAACAGACAATTCAACATACAGGTTATCCCAATGGCCATCATGTGAAAGGATGCTAAAGTCAGTATTCATCAGGGAAATGAAAATTAAAATCACACAGAGATACCACTACCCTCCTACTAGTATTGTAACAACTAAAATGACTGACAACACCAAGTGTTCAAGAAGAGATGGAGCAAGTGGAACCCTTGACACGACAACTTTGGAAAATGGTTTGGCAGTATCTCCACAGATAAATATAAACCTACTTTATGATCTAGCTATTCCACTCTTAGATTCCCAGTAGAAATTATTGCTATCTCTACCAAAAAAAATAATTTAAGATTGATCACAGCAGATTTGTGCATAATAAGAAAAAAATGGAAATCACACAAATGTCTATCAATATAGAATGAACAAATTGTACCATGAGTTGGAAAACTGCAGCATGCAGACAAAATACAACCTGTCACCTGTTTTTGTATAGCCAATGACCTAGGAAAGGTTTTACAGGTTAAATGGTTGAAAAAAATAAAAATAAGAATAGTATTTTGTGACATATAAAAATTACATGAAATTCAAATTTTAGTGTCCATAAATCAAGTTTTATTGGAATACAGCCACACTCATTTGTTTACATGTTGTCTATGGCTGCTTTCATGCTACAGTGGCAGAGTTGAGTAGCTGTGACAGAGAACGTTTGGCACACAAAACCTAAAATATTTACTAGATGGCTAAAGGAATTATTGCTACACTCAATAACACGGATTCATCTCAGAGTTGACATATGTTAATTGACAATAATGTTGACAAAAACATGCCAGACACATATCATTACATTAATTGCACTTCTAGATGGAGTTAGAGTTGACTAGGATGGGGCACAAGTGAACATTCTGGTATCTTGGAAACGTTCTTCATCTTGATCTGTGTTTGGTGGTTGCCTGTGTATGTAAAATATCACTGAGGTGTAAATGTGGTATTTGTGGACTTTATGTGAATTATTCCTCTAAAAAGAAAAAAACAAAGACTAAGGCTGAATTTGCCTTTTTTTTTTTTAGGAAGATTAGGCCTGAGCTAACTACTGCCAATCCTCCTCTTTTTGCTGAGGAAGACTGGCCCTGAGCTGACATCCATGCCCATCTTCCTCCACTTTATATGTGGGGCGCCTACCACAGGATGGCTTTTGCCAAGCAGAGCCATGTCTGCACCCGGGATCGGAACCAGTGAACCCCAGGCCACCAAGAAGCAGATGTGCGAACTTAACTATTGTGCCGCTGGGTGGGCCCTGAATTTGCATTGTTTTACCTCTGTTTCAATTTAAAACTCATCTTTCAAATTATTTGCTAGATGAAATTAAGTGTCTCTTCCTCCAAATTTTGCAGGCAAATTGATGCTCCAGGCTGTGCTGTCCAATTTAGCTAGCCACATATACCTGTTTAAATTTAAATTTATTAAAATTAAACAAAATTTAAAATTCAGTTCCTCAGTCAAACTAGCCATGTTTCAGGTGCTCAAGAGCCATATGTGGCCAGTGCTCTGGTATTGGACAGCACAGATATACAACACCGAATCCAATTTTGCAGAAATTTTTTTTGGACAGTGGTGCTTCAAAACGTTACACAAATGTTAACTTCCTTTCACAGATGAGGAAACTGCAGCTTAGAGATACTCTTACATACAATCATATCCATTCTCACATTACTGTGCCTACACACTTCTTTTCCCACATTCACCACTACAGGTGAACTCTCAACACAGCATCCGTTTAACACTTCTATAATTCCACAGGAATGTATTCTAAATTCATACCCATGGAAATAAAGAAAAAGCATTTTCTTACGAGTTATAAAATACTTAGTCGCAGACTGTCTGATTAATCCCAGACATCACCCTTAAAGCTATAATCACACTGTCCCTGAGACACTCCCACACAATCCCAAATGGATCAGATGCTTATCCACTAACATCCCTCTCAGTCTCCAGCACAATCTGACTCACATCACACTCCCCACAGTCCTCCCTTCCCCTGCAGAGGACACTTGGACACGGACACACGACCGTGAAGTAAGCGTCACACTCCTGAACTCTCTTGAGCATCAGCCAGGTTGTCACGGCCACTGCGTTCGGGCCAGAGCTCTGTCTAACAAATCTGGACCCCACCTCCTGGCCTTCAGAGCCTTTTCAACCCTGGACTACATTTCTCGGAAGGCATCACTGCAAGACTCAACCTCTGGTAACCTCTTTGGGATCTTCTGGAACCTCTGGGGACTCACTTGAGTAAACCGAAATAAGTCAGCTTACACGGTAGTAGCGTGAGACCCAAGGTTCAAGCAAGGGAGCCCCAGGGCTCGCCCAATTCCAGAGCGCAGGTCGTGGCCACTGTCTAGGGATTCTGTTCGATCAGTCCGGTTCATGCTTTTAAACTACATTTCCCAGAGGCCACCGCGTCCCTGCGCCATTTCGTACCCTTACTCCGTTACGCTCGCTGCAAGCATCCAGTCTGCAGCGGCCAGGTGAGTGGACGGCCTCACTGGGAGCCGCACCTGCATTTGGGTTGGAGAATCCAGCAAGAAGTTCCCATATGGTGCTGGGAATAGCGGTGTCCCGGCTGGGGCTCGGTGCTGACAGGGGTCCGGAGGATCCCGGCTCTGCACTGCATTTCTCCAGATTAATTCCTCACGGAAGTCGGCCTTGCCGCTGCGGAGTGGCTGTGCCCTTCGCCGCTGGCAAAATTGGCACCGTCACTTCGGTGTCGAGCGGCGGGGAGGTGGAGCTCTATGTGTGTTCCTCCGCACCGGAAGCGTGAGTGTGCACCTGCTGCGTCTCTCCGCCGGCGAAATCGGGGCCGTGACTTTGGTTCCGGGCTGACGGGAGCGGGGAGACATTACCGTTATCGTTCCGCCGCGCTGGCTGTGTGTGCGCGCGCGCGCTGCTGTGGCCGCGTGGCCGGCTCCCCTGCCGCCTTCTGACCGTCTTGGCTGCTGGGCCCTTCCTCGCTGTGTACTCTACCCCTGCGTAGCGGAGACAGGGTTGAGAATCGCGCGGTTCGGGCTGCCGCAGTTCCTTCACTTGACTGTACAGAGACCGAGGCTGTTTGGAAGCTGCCCCTGTGATCAGGCTTTACGCCTGCACGTGCCCCACGGAGGGAGAAGACCGCCAGACTAGGATGCCCCCTTCTAATGGGAGCCCTGTGGGGAACGCTAATCTCTGTCTCTCTGGCCTGAAGCTGTTGTGGGACATGGTCCTAAATTGTTTTGTCGGCTCTGAGAAAGGCTTGATATCCTATGATTATTTTTTCTCCGTTCTCCGTTTTCCAACAGAGGCACACAGAGCAAAGGAAAAGAATATTGCGCATCTAAAAGGCGTGCTTAAAATAAGTTGCCGTTTTCTTTCTTCCCTCAAGTTTCTTCCTTTTCAAGATATTGCTACCTCGTTCAATGACTGGTCCTTAGGCACTGCTGTCCCCGTAAATGCTGGCTCTCCAGGGATGGGCTCACTGGTCTCGCTCCACTCCCCAACTACGCTACGCCTGTCCTTTCCACCCAATGACACATCAGTCTTCTCTGGTCTAAGATTTTTGATGAAAGATAACCATACTTTCTGGAGAAAATTTGAAGACTTTTAATTTGATTTTATTATGGAAATTTTCAAGCAGGGTAGAAAATAATACAAATCCCAATGAGCCCAACACCTAGCTATGGTTTAAAACATTTGTAAATATCCTTATATCTGTCCTTTTTTTCTATAGTATTTCAAGATTATATTATTTTATCCATATGTATGCATATATAACCAAAAAGGACATCATTTTAATTTCTATTTTTTTTTTTTAGTTCATGATAGTTTACATCATTGTGAGACTTCAGTTGTACATTCTTTCTTTTTTTTTTGAGGAAGATTAGCCCTGAGCTAGCATCTGCTGCCAATCCTCCTCTTTTTGCTGAGGAAGACTGGCCCTGGGCTAACATCCGTGCCCATCTTCCTCTACTTTGTATGTGGGACGCCTTCCACAGCATGGCTTGCCAAGTGGTGCCATGTCCACACCGGGGACGCAAGCTTGTGAACCCTGGGCTGCCAAAGCGAAACATGTGAACTTAACTGCTGTGCCACCGGACTGGCCCTTGTACATTATTTTTTAACTGTCACCACATAAGTGCTGCCGTTCAGCCCCTGTGCCTACCCCCCCACCCCCTTACCCTGGTAACCACTGAACTGTTTGCTTTGTGCCAGTGTTTGTTCATATTCCACATATGAGTGAAATCATCTAGTGTTTGCCTTTCTCAGTCTGTCTTATTTCAATTAGCATAATTCCCTCCAGGTCCTTCCATGTTGTTGCAAATGGGATGATTTTGTCTTTTTTTATGGCTGAGTAGTATTCCATTGTCTATATACACCACATCCTCTTTGTCTAATCAGAAGTCACTGGGCACTTGCGTTGTTTCCATGTCTTGGCTGTTGTGAACAGTGCTGCAATGAACATAGGGGTGCATATCTTACTTTGGATTGTTGATTTCAAATTGCTTGGGTAGATACCCAGTAGTGGGATAGCTGGGTCCTATGGTAGTTCTATTTTTAGTTTTTTGAGGAATCTCCATACTGTTTTCCACAGTGGTTGTATCAGTTTGCATTCCCACCAGCTGTGTGTGAGGATTCTCTTCTCTCCACACCTTCTCCAACATTTGCTATTTTCAGTCTTAGTGATTATAGCCATTTTAACAGGTGTAAGGTGGTATCTTACTGTAGTTTTGATTTGTATTTCCCTGATGATTAGTGATGTTGAACATCTTTTCATGTGTTTATTGGCCATCTGTATGTTTTCTTTGGAAAAATGTCTGTTCATCTCCTCTGCCCATTTTTTGATTGGGTTGTTTGTTTTTTGATTATTCAGTTGTGTGAGTTCCTTGTATATTATGGAGATTAACCTCTTATCAGACATATGATTTGCAAATATTTTCTCCCAGTTGGTGGATTGTCTCTTTGTTTTGATCCTGGTTTCTTTTGCATTGCAGAAGCTCTTTAGTCTGATGAACTCCCACTTGTTTATTTTTTCTTTTGTTTCCGTTGTCTGAGAAGACACGGTATTTGAAAAGATCCTTTTAGTTCAGTGTCAAAGAGTGTACGATCTATATTATCTTCCAGGAGTTTTATGGTTTCAGGACTTATCTTCAAGTCTTTGATCCGTTTTGAGTTTATTTTTGTGTATGGTGTGAGATAATGGTCTACCTTCATTCTTTTGCATGTGGCTGTCCAGTTTTCACAACACTATTTATTGAAGAGACTATCTTTTCTCCCTTGTATGTTCTTGGCACCTTTCTCGAAGAATAGCTGTCCGTAAATGTGTGGTTTTATTTCTGGGCTTTCAGTTCTGTTCCATTGATCTGTGTGTCTGTTTTTGTACCAGTACCATGCCGTTTTGACCACTATGGCTTTGTAGTATATTTTGAAGTAAGAGATTATGATACCTCCAGCTTTGTTCTTTTTTCTCAGGATTGCCTTAGCAATTCAAGGTCTTTGGTTGCCCCATATGAATTTTAGGATTCTTTGTTCTATTTCCCTAAAGAATGTCATTGGGATTCTGATTGGGATTGCGTTGAATCTGTAGATTGCTTTGGGTAGTATGGACATTTTAACTATATTTATTCTTCCAATCCATGTCTTTCCATCTCTTTATGTCATTGTCAGTTTCTTTCAGTAATGCCTTATAGTTTTCACTGTATAAGTCCTTCACATCCTTGGTTAAATTTATTCCTGGGGACTTTATTCTTTTAGTTGCAATTGTAAATGGAATTGTATTCTTGAGTTCTCTTTCTGTAAGTTCGTTATTAGAGTATAGAAAAGCAACTGATTTTTGTAAGGTGATTTTGTACCCTGCAACTTACTGTAGTTGTTAATTATTTCTATTAGTTTCCTGATGGATCCTTTGGGGTTTTCTATATATAAGATCATGCCATCTGCAAACAGTCAGAGTTTCACTTCTTCATTTCCTATTTGGATTCCTTTTATTCCTTCTCTTGGCTAATTGCTCTGGCCAAAACCACCAGTACTATGTTGAATAAGAGTGGTGGTAGTGGGCATCCTTGTCTTGTTGCTGTTCTCAGGGGGATGGCACTCATTTTTTGCCCATTGAGTATGATGTTGGCTGTGGGTTTGTCATATATGGCCTTTATTCTGTTGAGGTAGTTTCATTCTATCCCCATTTTGTTAAGAGTTTTTCTTATAAATGGCAGTTGGGTCTTGTCAAATGCTTTCTCTGCATCTGTTGAGATGATCATGTGGTTTTGATTCCTCAGTTTGTTGATGTGGTGTATCACGTTGATTGACTTGCAGATGTTGAACCATCCTTGTGTCCCTGGTATGAATCCCACTTGATCGTGATGTATGATCCTTTTGATGTATTGCTGAATTTGGTCTGCCAAAATTTTATGAGGATTTTTGCATCTATGTTCATCAGCGATATTGGCCTGTAGTGTTCCTTTTTTGTGTTGTCCTTGTCAGGCTTTGGTATCAGAGTGATGTTGGCCTCGTAGAATGTGTTAGGAAGTGTTCCATCTTCCCTAATTTTTTGGAATAGCTTGAGAAGGATAGGTATTAAGTGCTCTCTGAAAGTTTGGTAGAATTCACCCGGAAAGCCATCTGGTCCTGGGCTTTTATTCTTTGGGATGCTTTTGATTACTGTTTCAATCTCTTTCCCTGTAATTGTAATAGATTCTCTATTTCTTCTTGATTCAGCTTTGGGAGGTTGTAAGAGTCTAAGAATTTATCCATTTCCTCTAGGTTATCCATTTTGTTGGCATATAGTTTTTCGTAGTATTCTCTTATGATCCATTGTATTTCTGTGGAGTCTTGTTATTTCTCCTCTTTCATTTCTGATTTTGTTTATTTGAGCTTTCTCTCTTTTTTTCCTTGTAAGTCTGGCTAGGGGTTTGTCAATTTTATTTATCTTCTCAAAGAACCAGCTCTTGGTTTCATTGATCCTTTCTACTGCCTTTTTTGGTTCAATAGCATTTATATCTGCTCTGAATTTTTTTATTTCTCTCCTTCTGCTGACTTTGGGCTTTGTTCTTTTTTAAATTCAGTTAGGTGTAATTTGAAATTGCTTATTTGGGATTTTTCTTATTTGTTAAGGTGAGCCTGTTTTGTGATGAATTTCCCTCTTATACTGCTTTTGCTGCATCCCATATGAGTTGGTATGCTATGTTTTCATTTTCATTTGTCTCCAGATAGTTTTTTGATTTCTCCTTTTATTTCTTCAGTGATCCATTGCTTCTTCAGTAGCCTGTTGTTTAGTCTCCACGTCTTTGTCCCTTTCTCACCTTTTTTCTTGTAATTAATTTCTAGCGTTATAAGATTATGATTGGAAAAGATGCATGTTATTATTTCAATCTTGTTAAATTTATTGAGGTTGCCTTGTTTCCAAACATTTGGTCTGTCCTTGAGAATGTTTCATGTGCACTTGAGAAGAATGTGTATTCGGCTGTTTTTGGGTGGAGCAGTCTATTAAGTCCAACTGGTTTAGGCTTTCATTTAATTCCACTCTTTCCTTGTTGATTTTCTGTCTGGATGATCTATCCATCGATGTTAGTGGGGTGTTGAGGTCCCCTGTTATTATAGTATTATTATTAATATCTTCTTTTATGTTTGTTACTAGTTACTTTATGAACTTTGGTGCTCCTGTGTTGGGTGCATCGATATTTATAAGTGTTATCTCTTCTTGATGGAGTGTCCCTTTGATCATTACATACAGCTCTTCTTTGTCTCTCTTTACCTGTCTTATCTGGAAGTCTGCTTTGTCTGATCTAAGT